TATCTATCTATCTATCGTCTGTCTGTCTGTCTGTCTGTCTGTTTATCTATCTGTCCATCCGTCCATCTTTCATAAATCCATCCATTCATCCATTCATCCATCCAACATAAGCCTCAATGGATTGCAAAAATAATGTTTTCAAAAAAGTTTGCCAGAACAGTCCCCCGCCTTCCATTGGTTGGAGCAACAAGTAATCCCGCCCCCAAATCACACTACCGGTTTTATGTTTAAATTTTACATTTTTTATTGTCTTATTCTGTGATTGGGACACAATAAGCACAAAAAACAGCATATAAAAACATCAACGGAACTATCACAATGAATATTCTGGTGTGAGATTTGGACTTCTATCAGTTGTAACAGATCCACTGGAAGAACAGGCTGTGTGTCTGTGTGTATCAAGAAAGGAGGAAAGGCTCTCAAGCGGTGCACAAAGACTCTGCCAAAACATCCCTGCACGTGGGGATGATTGCTGGGATTAGGAGTTTTTACGAGAGCAAACGAGTCATAAAACATACTGAAACATACTGGTCTGTTTCATAATAGGGCATCAGACCTTTTAAACACAAGTAAATAACTGTACTTCTGCTTCTTGCTGTCACTGAACGTTATTATGGTCTTGAATTTTTTTCTTTCTTGGAAAAAATGCACATTACAGCCGTCACCTTGTTAGCACAAAGTGTATAGGTGAATTTGGGTGAATATGGTTTCTGTGGGCATTTTATGTCCTGGGTTATAAACATGTTTCACCTTTTTTCTTAAAACATGTAAATCCACTATAGAAATATATACTGTATGTATACATGTTTTTGATTAAAATGATTTCTATAAATTTTTACACAAATTATGACAGAAATTTAATGTTTTTTTTTTTTTAAAGTCAACAAAAGACCGAAAGTGCTTATATAGCTAAAGAAACACCCCTATATTTTTAATGTATTTTGATGCATATACCTTATCAAAATATCTCTCTTAAATGAATAATTTAAAGGCCTTAAAGGAACACTCCAGTATTTTTGAAAATAGGCTCATTTTCCAACTCCCCTAAGAGTTAAACAGTTGAGTTTTACCGTTTTTGAATCCATTCAGCCGATCTCCGGGTCTGGCGGTAGCACTTTTAGCTGTAGCTTAGCATAGATCATTGAATTTGATTAGACCGTTAGCATCTCGCTCAAAAATGACCAAAGAGTTTCTGTATTTTTCCTATTTAAAACTTGACTCTTCTGTAGTTACATCGTGTACTAAGACCGACGGAAAATGAAAAGTTGCGATTTTTTTAATCTACATCGTGTACTAAGACCGACGGAAAATGAAAAGTTGCTATTTTTTTAATCGTCATTTTTGAGAGAGATGCTAATGGTCTAATCAGATTCAATGATCTATGCTAAGCTACAGCTAAAAGTGCTACGCCAGACCCGGAGATCGGCTGAATGGATTCGAAAACGGTAAAACTCAACTGTTTAACTCTAGGGGAGTTGGAAAATTAGCCTATTTTAAAAAATAGTGGAGTGTTCCTTTAAGCAGATTGTATAAAAACGTATATGAGATTGTACAAATTCATATAAAAGGGCATTTACAAGACACCATTTTCAACTAAAAATGGTAAACTTTTTATGCCTTTGAGCCATTTATTTACATGGCATTTTGGGGACCTGAAAACGCAAACTTTTGAAAACTGAAATGATACCGTTTTTGTCTCCATGTAAACTACAAAAATGCTTTTTTGAATTTGTGAAATTTGTGATTTGTGAAAACAGTGACTTCATACGCAAGCTTATTATGAGCTCAGTCTATAGGTATATGTACAGGCTTGTAATGTTTCTTTACTAAAGTAGCATTGCCAACTACTGTACAGTGTTTTTAGTTGTTTTCGAGGATCCATGTGATCCATGTGAACATTTTCTTCTGTATGCGAAACTTTTCAAAAACGCAGTGTTTAGTACATCGTGTAAACATACCCTAAATTTGGCAACCAATTTGCCAAAATGTAAAACAGATACAAATTGCCATAAAAGTATATTAAAACCCCCCTACTGTTTTCTCATACCAAAACATGTAACCATGATGTATTTCTCTCTAGAAGGGCACAGCAGGAAATTTATTGTGTAGTAGTAGTAGAGTGTGGAGCGAATCAATGGCTGTAAGGTCAATAACACAAATGTGTAAGACTATGGGCTCTGTATAGTCTTACACAAAGCTGTAAAAATGACTGATGGAGTGTGGCTTGCTGTACCTTGCTGTTTGTGCTCAACACTGGAGGCCAAAAGGCCCAAATTCAGAGGAAAACGTGCTCTCTTGTGACTTTCATGTCAAGAACTGTTCCCATTGATTTGACAGCCAAGGAACACTCTTGATGGACACTGGCTTACAGTCATTCACTGGAAGCTCTGTGCAAGTTCTTAGAGATCAAATTTAACAAGAAAAGAGTTGTGAAGAGGGACTTGTAACACACAACACTACATGACTATCCCTGTGCAACACATAGTGGCGCAGGTTCTCCATGTAGGTGTTTATCGCAGAAACAGTTAAATCAGCTCATATAATGCATTTTATTTTACATCATAAAACACATTTATACATTTTAAAGGAGTACATTTTTGAAAATTATGATAAAATCCTGTAATTTCAATCTTGTGCATCTACCTCTCTGGAAGATGGTTATGGAAATATTTTCACTAGTGCTAATCCAATATTTTAATGGTAGTTGTGTGAGTTGCGCCACCTAGACAAAATGACAAATTCTCACACATTAAACTCTACCGCTTTGACGATACTCGTGAGAGCCAATGAGGTTTG